TGCTTTAGGCCAGTGATGGCGAACCTATGACACGTGTGTCAGAGGTGACACATGAACTCATTTTTTTGGTTGATTTTTCTTTGTTAAATGGCATTTAAATATATAAAATAAATATAAAAAATATAAATCTTTGTTTTACTATGGTTGAAAATATCAAAAAAAATTTTATATGTGACATAGCACCAAGTTAAGTTAGGGTTTTTCAAAATACTGACATGCTGAGCTCAAAAGGTTCACCATCACTGAGCTAGGGCTTTGTTGCTGTTGTTCATACAGGCTGTGACTAGAGCCTGGAAGTGTTCATTTCCTAGAAAATAATTAATAAAATAAATCACTCCCCAAACTATAGTCTACCTAAGAACTCAAAATCAGATTTCTCTAGCTCTTACATTTTAAATTAAATCCAGAATATCCACCATGCTATTACTAAGGTGATTGACTTTCCTTCCACGATAAATATGTTTGCTCCTGAGAAAACAATGTAGGTATAATTCAGGCCGCCAAACAGAGGTCAAGTGAGGGTCACCAAACCAATATAAAAATCCTTGAAAAGTACTAACTTTAATTCCACGTATGATAGAAGCAGTCTCCAAATAGCAAATAAAGACAAGTTATTGTGCTACTTAGTGAAACTTTTACTATAGAACTGCACACATTGAACTCTTCTTACAGGTTCTTCTTGCACAAAAATTCACTCTAAAAAAATGGACTTTATAACAAGTAAAATTGAATTCGACCTTAGGCAAGAGAAGGAAATCTACCCATTGTTACTAGAAGAAAGGATTAATATTCATCGTGTAGCTACTACATATCAGGCATTTCACAACAGCCTATGGTGTTTTGATTCAGTGCAAACCACCCTTGCTATAGATATTATTAACTCTATTTTCAGTTAAGTAATTGTGTCTCAGATATGTCAGCAAGATGGGATCTTAGAAAGCACCTATGGCTCCAAACTAAAATCTACTTCAAGGAATCCATGAGTCTTATTTAGTCAGCTTGGGATGCTCTATCAAAATACATAGACTTAAACAATAGGGCGCTTAAACAATAGACATTTATTTCTCAGAGTTCTGGAGGCTGGGAGGCCCAAGGTTAGGCCAGCAGATTTTGTTCTTGGTGAGGCCACTCTCCCTGGTTTGTAGACAGCAGCCTTCTCCTACATCATAGGAACATTGCATCACTGTTCAGCATGTTCCAGACTATTTCTTTTATTTTTTAAAATATACATTTTATTTAAATATAGTTGATGTACAATGGTGCCTTAGTTAAATTGGTTTTAGGTGTGTAATACAGTGGTTTGATATTTTTATACCTTACAATGTGACCACCCATTAATTCTAGTAGTCATTTGTCACCACGTAAACTTATCACAATATTACTGACTATGTTCCCCTTCACCATTTTCACCCATCACCCACCACCCCAACCATTAAGACTGTTTCTTACATGACCTCCCCTGGAGAAGAATTCTGCTTAAGTCAGAGCACTCTTTACCTATGTAATCATTCGATATATTTCAATCACTCACAATACATAATATTATCCTTTCTAGTCTTGTTCAAATCTATTTTAATGCTCTATTCACTGCTTATCCTTCTAAAATGCTTCAAAAGCAATACATATCTCCCTCTCTCTTTTTTCTACCACCTTGCTTTCTTCTTCCTTCCACTAAAGTTGCTTTAGTTTGCTGTTTCTTATTTGAAGACTGTTTTTCTGAATTCCCATGCCAACACCATCCCTTTCCTCCAGTATTCTAATAAACCTTTTACCAAAAAAAGTGACACTCCATTTTGTATTCCTGACAGCAGAGTGTATGAAATTATAATTGCTCATTTTAATGTTAATCAACACACACTAAGAAATTTACCAATTTGTTAAACTGGAACAGTGGTTCAACTGAAGGAGATTTTGTTCCCCCCAGTGGACATCCAGCAATGTCTGGAGATACTTGTGGTTGTCACTGCGGGGATGGGGGATGCCACTGGCCTCTAGTAGAAGCCAGGGGTGCTGTAAGGACACTATGAGGCATAGGCAGCTCCCTACGCCACATACTCATCCAACCCAAAAGGTCGCTATTGTCAAGGTGAAGATACCCCAACCTCGAAATAGCATCTTGTTTTAATTTATATTTCTTTGATTATTCATAAGAGTAAATTTTTCCACATGTTTACTAAATAGCTATATTTTATAAATTTTCTGTTACATTTCTCATCAATTTGTATGAGTTCCTTATATTAAGATATTAACTCTGTATTTTATTTACTGAGTTTGTTTTCTTTCAGTTTTTTTTCTGCCAAATTTTAAGTTTATATTGACCATCAATATGTTTTTGTTTGGTCAGGCATCATTTTTTAATTGTATCTAGTCTAGGAAGTTCTTCCCCCAGCTGCCTACCAGTCCCCTAATAATCTCATTTGTTAAAGATATATTTTTATTGATTTCAGAGAGGAAGGAAGAGGGAGAGAGGGAGAGAAACATCAATGATAAGAGAGACTCATTGATCAGCTGCCTCCTGCATGCCCCCTACTGGGGATGGAGCCTGCAACCTGGGCATGTGCCCTGACCAAGAATAGAAGAACCTCCTGGTTCATAAGTAGAGGCTCAATCACTGAGCCATGCTGGCTGGGCAGTAATCTCATTTTTGCTGAATTCTTTTTTCTTAGAGTTTTATCTTATCACATTTACTTTTATAAAGTGCACATATAATTTATTATAATGTGTATTATGAGATAATTTTAGAAATAATTTTTTTCTAAATAGTAATGTCTGGTCTTCTTCCATTTGAAGAAATATTGGCTTACACAGTGTATTTCAGGTTCAAGATAACCTTCAGAAAAATGAAGGTTTCCAAGGGTTTATGCA